ATGAAGCGGCAAAGCGGAAGGGAAGCCGTTCACCTCTGCAGGCGCTGGGTGCGATCCAGCGGGCACGCTGTCGTCAGGAGGGAGCATGTGCTGGGTCCTCCTGGGAAACCAGGAGGGGATGTGACTGGGTCGCGGGGTGGGTGCCGAGCCCACACTCGTCCAGGGTGAAAACACACAGCAAAGGCTGTGCCCTGTGGCCGCACCAGAGCACTGCTGTCACCCAGTATTGCTCTGACGGTTCCAGTTCCTGGTCCCTCGGTGCACGCTGCGTGGTTTGGACGTGCGGGCAGCTGCCCTGTCGCTGTCCGGTGAGTCCCAAGTTCCCCAAGTAAGGGAGCAGCTCATCCTCCCCTGGGGCCTCCTCTCTCCTTGCGCCAGCCTGGAAAGCTGGTTCCCCCCGCACCCCACTCCGCCTCTCTGCGTGCTCCCGGCACCCTGGGCTGGTGCGCCTCTCTCCCGCTTCGGATCTGTAGGTCCATCTGAGAGGCCTCCCCTGAGCCAGAGGCCTAAGGAAGGTGCCACGTGTCCTGTGCTTGGCTTTCGTGGAGGCACCGAGCCCCCAGGTTATACCTGACTCACTGGATTGCGGGCTCCACCTCCGGGTCTGGCCCCCAGTGGACACCCCATGGATGTGTGTTGGATGGATGGGGGGCGCAGGTGGACAATGGATGAACAACACCTTTTTCTTCTTCCCAGGTGGCTTCTGGCATAGCAGCTTAATTGACCGAAATCTCATTGATTATTTTGTTCCCTTCCTCCCCCTGGAATATAAACACCTAAAAATGTGCATCAGAGTCGAAATGCAGGCCCGAGGCTTTGAAATTGACGAGGACATTGTAACCAAAGTGGCTGACGAGATGACATTTTTCCCCAAAGAGGAGAGAGTTTTCTCTGACAAAGGCTGCAAAACTGTGTTCACCAAGTTAGATTACTACTATGATGACTGACGGCCCCGGAGTCACTGCTTTGAGTTGGAGGAGAAGGAACTCAACACCCAGCTCTCTTCCCGGACCCCCCCCGGCTCTGTACTCCGGAAGAGGACTAAAGGGAATGCTTCCTGTGGAATAGGACGGGAATTTACCTGGGCGGTTTGCATCCAGCGGAGCCTGCAGGCATCAGACCCTACAGATCGTGGACTTCGGAACAGCCCCCGGAGGCTTCAGAGGAGGAAGCAGCCAGCTCCCAGTCTGCTCAGCCTAGGGCTCATGATTTTTTAAAAAATCATGTTTTAATTTCAGGTGTTTCTGTTTCAAGGAAAGACGTCTAAGTTTTACTGAAAATGTGGTGACTTTATTTAAAATGGTTTTTACCATTATAAGAAACTTTTCAGACTTTACATTTCTGGCTTTGTGTGTTTTTTTTTAAGTGCCTGTCACCATATCGCATACCGTGATATCTTTACTGCAGAAAAGCCCAAGCCTGGGTTCTCGGCATGTAGTCCCTAGGATGGCGTAACTGGGGACCAAGCCTGGAGCAGTGATCAGACCTGTCCCAGGCTGACCATCGCAAGGGGCAATTAAGTGTTTAGATAGAAGGATGAGTGCATAAGAGGGGACACACTCAGGCAAGTCACAGATAAGCCTTAAATCCCCTTTCCAAGGGTTTTGATCTCAGTAACATTGTGAACTGTGGGAATGATCTTAGCAACATTGTGAATGTTTGTTAGAAACAGTTTCCTTGAAGAAAAGTATTTCCATCTTCTCACTTGCCAGTCCTTCAGCTTTGCAAAGGAAGACCCTTATCTGCTTTCCATCCCTGAATGAGCCATGGGTTATCTGGCAAGTTTTGCCATATTTTTAAAAACTGTACTTGTTGCTAGTTCTTGTTGTTTAATGAGAACTCCCAAAAACCTGTTAGGAAAGCTGAGCTGCCCCCGCCCCCCGACCAGTCCACCCTGAGGATGCTGAGAATAGTGTTTTTACTTATAACTACAGAAGAGCTACCATTTTGCAATAAAATTGTAATTTGTGAATACATCTTTAAAGGAGGGGGAAAAAAAACCCTCCACCGTAGGTCTTACGTGCTTCAGCTATGAATTAAGACCTAAGAGGTGCAGTGCAGGCTGGAGTGACGTCTAAAGCAGGCACTCTGAGGATCCTGAGAGCTCTTGCTCTTCGCTCAGCTGCACTGGGCTTCATGGAGCTCCTGACACCCAGCCATGGAGTTCAAATCGAGAGACAACCCCAGCTGAGATGCCAGGCAGGAGTACAGAGCACTGTAGGAGACTAGACGTACCTTGGTGTTTCCGACACCTGTGTGCCTGCAGGTGGGTGGGGCTCCTGTAGGGGGTGGTACCTAAGTGCTCACAGGGGCCCATTTCTTGCAGGCCCAGAGGACCAGCTGGCACCCAGCTGCCACAGGACCCGTCTGCCTTGTACCTGGCCTGCAGAGAGCCTCTTCAAGGGCGTCCAGGCCTCCTAAGGATGGCTGCAAGGGTTGGGAGTTTTGTTTTTTTTTTTAAGATTTATTTATTCATTTGAGAGCAAGCGAGAGCATGAGCAGGGGTGAGGGTCAGAGGGAGGGGGAGAAGCAGACTCCGCACTGAGCGGGGAGGCTGATGCGGGGCTCAAGCCCAGGACCCCGAGATCATGACCTGAACCGAAGGCAGACGCTTCACCAACTGAGCCACCCAGGCGCCCCAAGTGTTGGAAGATTCTTGGTGTGGAGCAGAAGTTGGCCTGTCGTCCTGTCCCCAGGAGTCACAGATCGAGCTAATCACTTTCAGCCCCAGCATCTGGGCGGCCCTACTTAGGGAACACAGGAATCCCTGACTTCAGTTGGCAAGTTCAGCCTTGGTAGATGAGGCAGTACAGGGCAGAGCGGAAACTGCACAAGGCTGGGGACAGACCTGGAAAGTCCTGCCTCGGGACTTGAGCACCTTCAGTTAATGGGGGGGGGTTGGTGGGACGCTGGCAAAGAGGGTCTGAACATTCTCTAAAGTAGCTGGCTCGTCCTCAGTCCTGGGGAGAGGGTTGGTGTTAACGATTCACCGAAAGAGGAGAGGCCGGGTGGAGAGCGCTCGAGCGAGGACGTCACTGTGCCAGTTCTGGTTTCGGGCTGAGCCCGGCCTTGCTCGGGTGCAGAATGTCAGCAGGAAGTCCTGTTTTCCCACTGCCTTAATTTCCTTCCTATGTTAATTTTAGGAGAAAACACTTGCAAAAAGAAGTCCAGCTCTTCCTGCATTTTCATCTGTGGAACTGTGGCGTATAACCCGTCACCTAATCCAGTGTAACTATGTGTGTGTTGGTGGGGGGACCAGCCCTGAAGGTCAAACTGTCTGACGCAGATGACCCGCCAGTACGTCTCGGGTGTAGTAAACCTGACACCCAAGCTGTTGAACAGCCTTTATCCCAAGTGCAAACTTTACAGAGTTACCAAATAAACTAGGAAAAAAAAAAAAAAGGTTTGCAAGTGACATGTCACATGATAAAATGTAGGCTTTATTTCATACTCAGTAGGTCAGTTCAAGTTCTTGTCTACCTCTTACATGGGGCGAGGGAGGCTGGACTGTGGTCAGCCGTGGCCTCTTCAGGTTACAAGTCCAAAGGTGGCCCACACGTGGTGAGTGAACTGCGTCCCTGTGAACAGGGAAAATCTTGTCTCTCCCTGACCAGACACGGGGTTATGAAAGAATTGTAACTCGGCTCCAATGCGAGAACATGTACCAAAAATTTTAAGCCTTAACTTGGCTTTTTTTTTTTTTAAATCAAAAATCGGGAGAGAGAGAGAGAGAGAGAGAGCACAAGTAGGGGAAGCAGCAGGGAGAGGGAGAAGGAGAAGCAGGCTCCCTGCAAAGCAGGGTGAGCGCAATGCGGGACTCGATCCCAGGACCCTGAGATCATGACCTGAGCCGAAGGCAGAGGCTTAACCCACTGAGCCACCCAAGCGCCCCCTAACTTGGCATTTTTAAAAGACTAAAGGTGACCCTCTGTAAGGCACTCCTATGTCGTAAGGCTGTTCCTTCTACATCTTCCATATGAACACACTGCACGCTGTTCTTCTAAAGTGTCTGTGGTCGTGTCGCAACTGTGACACACACACCAATTCACATGGGCTGGAATCCATCTTCTTTCCCAGTGACCAGGGCGGTCCAGCCTGGCACTGCCATAGAGGGTGCTCGTCATCAGAGGACACGCTTCACACTGACCTTGTTGGACCTACAACTGTGACCAGCTATTGCCATGGACTGAACAATAAAAATGCATACTGTTTTTGTTAAGATTTCTGATAAAGGGATAGGCAGTTATTCCATTTTTTGGTGTCCTTCCCAGGTTTTAAAATAAGCCATGTCCTATATTTTTCTATTATCTAAGATTCACAAGTAAAAACATCATAAAAAACACACATATCCTTGAAAATTCTAGCATTTCTGTGTCCAATACTTATACTTCTTTGGCAATGCAGACTCTGCTAGCTGGCCACTCTGGCATGTGGCATCCATGGAGACTTAAGCATGTCCTATGGCTTTTAAATGATTCTCTGGAATAAAGTGAGAGACTGATCCATGCATAAATTTTAACAGACACTTCACGTGGGAAACAAGGGCTCAAATTCCAAAACCAACGGCCTCATTCTGATTTGACTCTCGTGATGATGTGTGATTGGGGGCAAATCTAGCGGCGACTGAAGTTCGGGAGCAGAAGTGGTACAAGGCAGGCTGAGATGGATACCAACTGAGAGACGGCCAAGGAATTCCAGGACCAGCCAAAGCAACGGACGAACTGCGAGGCCGTCGGTCCTGGTCTGCGGCAGTGGCCTCGGATGGAGACCCCGCACCACAGGCAGAGAGGTCACCTGGTTGAGAATGTTCCGGGTGCAGGCCACCTCTCCACCGGACACTCTCTATGCCTGAGAGTGCCACTGATTTCAACTGAAAATTCTTGAAGCCAGTGAACACTCTCTGTGCAAAGAAACAGGTTTTCAGCAGGTGCAAACCAAGTGCTCCCCAGGTTGCGGCAGGGCCCTTGAACTCCCTGAGTTAGAGCAGGAGCTTCTGAGGTGTGGGTGCTGTGGGTCTCACTCACACAGCTGTCTGCAAGGCACTTCTGTCAAGGTCAGCAAGGTGGGGGCGGGGGTTAAAAAGTTCATCTTCCACCGCAGTTAACAGATGGATTGCTATCAGGTCCAAAATGACAACTGCACTCAACAGATGGGTGTCTGTTCAAAACTCAACTCTTAGAAACTTCTACATCCCGAAAGTCCACAGGTGCAAAGTGCAAACCCCAAAGAGGGATTCAAAGTGCTTCCGGAAGGCAAGACCCTCGCTTGCTGAGCTCGCAGCGGCCTCTCACCCCACTTGAGTAAGAGGTCAGTGAAAATCCAACCGTGACTGCACAGTCTTGCAGCCCTTGTCTGAGTAGATTTTCTCGCTTTTGGGGAAAAAAGTCATTTCCTCTGCTACTCTGGTGACAATGTCCTCATTGATGGCAGAGCCGCGGGCCCTCATCTCTGCCCGCACACACATCTTCACATGTCTGTACTCCAGGGGGAGGAAGGGGATAAAGTAATCGATGAGGTTTCTGTCTATCAGTCCGCTGTGCCACAGGCCACCTGCAAAGCAAGACACAGCTGGGTCTTCTCATCACTGTCCCTGTCACCTAGGTAAGCTCACTGCACTTACAGGGCCCATTCTGATCCCAACCCACAGTACACCCTTCATGTCTCTACCCCTTGAGATTCTCTTTTTATCAAGCGTGTAACAAGCCTGATAAAAGGACTGCTCGGTTACCCCTGCTAACTGGCTTCTGTTATGGAATGCCTGGAGAGTAAGTCCCTACTTCAGCAAAGCCAAGGGACCCACGGATTCAGTGGCTTTGTGGAAGGTTTAAAGGAGGGGACTCCGCTAGCAGGGGGCTCCTCAGCCTGGGAGACTCACTGTGTTTATTGTTGAAGACTCCGACAGAAAGCACGGGTTCGAGATCCTTCAGCTGAATGTCTTCCCTCTTTCTTCCCGCCCGCCAAAAGTCAAGGGCAATCTTAGTTATGAGGTCCCCACCAGCATTGCTGTATTTACCAAAGAAGCAGAGTAAAAATTACAGTTAGATTCTGTGTCTAATCGAGGATAATACCTGTTCTGAGGTTTCTTCTTTTTTTTTTTTTTAAGATTTTATTTATTTATTTAATTGACAGGGAGAGTGAGAGAGGGAACACAAGCAGGGGAAGTGGGAGGGAGAGAAGCAGGCTTCCCGCCGAGCAGGGAGCCCGATGCGGGGCTCGATCCCAGGACCGTGGGATTATGACCTGTGCTGAAGGCAGTCGCTCAACCAACTGAGCCACCCAGGTGCCCCTGAGGTTTCTTCTTAACTGGGGAATATTTACTAAGTGCTCCTGGACAAGGACAAAATAAGCGTCTGCCCTCACAGAGCTTGAAATCTGCTTTTACAAAACCTGCCACACGATGCTGGCTTTTGACAACCCTTTGGAGGCATGCGCAGGTAACAAAATTGCCTGTTATCAGCAATATCTAATTCATTTTCTCCAGCTCTCACACTCCTTGCCATGCCAATTGGAGCAACCCCAAAGTAAAAGAAAGAAGTCAACAATCTTAACATAAAAAAAAAAAAGTCAGCAATCCACTTTTGCCAGGCACCTTTATCCCTGGGCAACAGAATGCTAACGGTTGCCAGGACCTCCTTCTAGCACCGGAAGAATGAGTGGCTTGTGTGCCCCCGAGAAAACACCTCCTGCTGACCTGAGAAAGATGAAGATGGCCTTCCGGTAAGACACGCCATCGACCTGCTCGTAGTAGTCTAGAAATGGCTTGATTGCATCGATGACCCCGGGGTGCAATTTGTCCATCTCGTCAAATATGAACACAGAGCTCGCACATGCACTCACATTACCCCGAATCCATCCTTGTAACTGGTCCTAGACCACACATAAAAGAAAGAGGATGCAAAGGCTCAAAGGGGTGCCTCAAACTGTGCCAAGGGGAACAGAAGCACGGCACAGTTCCCCATGCTCTGCCAGATGATAAATCGGGGCTCTCTGGGCCTTTACAAAGAACTCTTGGAAACTGCATCCTAATCTCCATCCACTGGGTAACAGCTTTTCCATAATTTATAAAAAGTGAAAACTGACAGGTGCTCAAATGCAAAGAAAGTTCTTTCCCTAACTCAAATGATGTGCTAAATGTGAGTTTCTAAAGGTATAAGAGAAGCAAGATATGTGAATATTCATCAGTTCACTGTTAACCAGCCCATCATTTCAGCTCACCGTGGCCTGAAATCTCAAGTTAATTTTAGCAGACATACGGAGGAATAAGAAACTGGACTCAGGCTTGCACAGCGCCCCCAACCAGTGCCCGGACAAATGCAGTGAACAAGGGAACTATTATTTCATGGAAAGCATTGTTCCTATGCTTTCCCGAGACAAAGACACCCAAGCAACAAGCCCTCCACCCCAAAACGTGAACGGCTCCAGTGGTCCCCTCATCTAATTACTGTATTTCTAGAGATTCATGAAAGAATTTGGAAAAACAACTTATTCTTTCTCTTCAGCAATTTCCCGGCTGTTTGGGTGGCAAATAGCCACTTTCACTTCCTTGTTCAGTTCAGTTTCTGTTTCTTATTTAGGCCCACCTAACAGTAGGACTATTAATCTTTATAAGGACAATGGCCATTGAAATAAGAACCCTACCAGACAACTTTATACAAATGTAGACAGAATATGTCAAAAGGAGGAACGGTCTTAAGATTGGGTTCTTCGAGGCTTTCATCTGAAGAAAGCAACGCCTAGGATTTGGATGTGAAGAACAAAGGAAATAAAAGCTACTGAGGGGAAAAAAATCCTCTAGCCTACGGTGCTAACTGCTGAGTGTTAACTGCAGACGCTGCATCGTAGGTGGGAGATTTTAATGAAATCGTATCAGAACAAATCACTTAAGACTGTTCCGCTTCACCAAGGGCTGGGACGGAAACAGCGAACACACTCATTCATTGCAGAACGTGGCTACGCCTCAAACAGGGAGTTTGGAGATTTAGACCCAAGTTTCTTGATTTGCCACAAGGCCAGAGAGATTGTGAGGAGCAAGTCCCCTCGCCTCTCTTGGCTCCATCTTTTAGTGGAAATAAGGTCAGCTACCCCACTGTATGATTTTGGAATCAAAAGAGAAAAAAGCTGTAGGAGAGCTCTGCAAACAGCAAAGGGTTACTGGGGACAAGTGTGCCTTAACTCAGTGGGGGCCCAGGGCTACTGCAGTGCAAAGAGAAGCAGAAGAGGCCAGAGTTAGTGAGCAGGTCACCCAGACCAGTCCAAGTGGCTGGGCTGGTGGACACGGTAACAGCATTCTCTTGCCTGGTACAGTTTTATCTGCTGCTCGTGAGGGAAGTGCAGAGTCGAGACAAACAGGTGGACAAAGTTACTCTTCAGGCCTTTTGAGTGAAGATTTTCAGCCACAATTTGGCTGACAAAATTCTTGCCCGTGCCAGCCCAGCCATGTAAGGAAAGAGTCAGCGGTTTCTTGGGATTTTTGTTGTTCTTGAAGCCAGTCAGCGCCTTGAGAATCACCTCTGTGGCCAGATGCTGCCCGAACAGCTTCTCCTCTAATTCCAGCTTGAGGGCTGCAGGAGCCAGCCGGAGAACAGAGAGAAAAATACACATTAAACAGGCACCAGAAAAGCAGCACTTTCCCCACCTGGCCAAAGCGAGAGGCAATATTAGCAAGCAGTCCATCAGGGTATCTGCCAAACCCCAGGGCTGGCCCGGAGGCAGAACCTCGGGGTGCAGAGTCACACGATGCCACTTCCAAGGATATGCACTAGACGGATGTCCTCCTTAATACTCCAGTGTCTGATAAGTAAGCTAAACGTGGTCGTTCATCCAAGGATTAGCCCTCTCTTGACTGAGCTGCATGTTATTCCCCAGCCACCCCTGCTGGCTTGTAAGAAAACCAAGAGCCAAATGTGGGCTTTCTGGGTAGCTGTTGCACATAGAAAACTACTTAATAGGACTGACATGGTGCAAAGGGCTGGACACGCTGCTTTCAGTTTCTTCTTACTGTACTCGCAGGGAGTCCGAGGCATTTAAAAAGGAGCTTGAGCAGAGCCCCACGATCTGGAGCATGGGTCTCAGAAGGCACGGCTTCCAGGGCTGGAGTCCGGACCGAGGCCCCGTCCGTGCTCCCTCCCGCCCCAGCTCAGGCTGAGCGCCGCGCCCCTCGCGGGCCGACCCGCCCTACCCGACGCGTTGAGCCGCTGCTCCTCGCGGCAGCACTCGGCGAAGCGGCAGTACAGGTCCGTGTAGGACAGGTAGCCGGTGAGCGCCGACGCGGCCCCGATGGCGATGCCCACGCTGATGGGCTCGAACGCCGCCACCCCGTGGACAGCTAGCAACAGCCCCAGCGCCGCCCCACGTCCTAGGCGACCAGCCCGCCACATCGCCCCACTCGCACCCCGCCAACCTCCGCGTCGTGTGGCCCGCCCACCGAGAGAGCTAAACCGGACTTCCGGCTTCGTCACTTCCGCCCCGCAGGCCCACCCAGCCCTCGGAACGGCCATATTGGCGGAGGCGGGGCTCTGTGTCGCCATCTTTGTGCGTGGCGCGAGAGCCGTCCAGTGCTTGGGCCTTCACGAACCCCACGCCTGCCTCTTACCGTTCTGTGTCCTAGACCTTTTCCGAACCCCCACACTTGGCCTTGTCATCCCTTCCCCTGGAGCTGTAGTGAGCCTCTCCCATGTCTGCCCACCTGCCTGCCTTCCTGAGACGGCTGCTCTGCGCTCTGGGGGCCCCGGCCAACCGAACACTGGGGAGGCACGAAGACTGCCGTGCCCTGGCGCACGGTCAAACCCGAAGCCCGTTGCGTCCTTCCGCATGCTGCAAGGCCGGCCACTTGTCGGGTGCGGGGAAGACAGCAGTGAAGGAGCGGGAGTTGGCCCTGGCCGTCCGGAGCCTCCAGGCTCTGGGAAAGGCAGACGGTGGCAAGGGCCCCACACAGAGCGGCGGGAGAGGCCCAGGGGCCGTGGAGCAGGGAAGGCTTCCGTCTAAACTGAGAATTCAAGGAGTTACTCAAGCAAGAAGTGAGGAGTGGAACGTTTACACGGAGAACAGAAAGTGCAGTTTGGGGAAGTATTTCACATGCTGGAGGCTGGTGAGAATGAGGATGCAGAGCTAGGGGAGACTGGAATGGGAAGGCCTGCAAGTGCTCTAAGGGGTCTGTCCTCTATTCTGGGGGCCATAGGGAGCCACAGAAGGTTTCACACAGGGAGCGGCATGGGCAGAACAAAGATCACTCTGTCTGTTGGGTTCAGTGAGGGGAACGGTCCAGGTAACCTGAAACTGGTCGAGTTTACCCATCAGCTAACTGTTCAACAGATATTTAATGAACACTGGCTCTGTGTCAGATTCAGTGCCGTATGCTGGGGATACAGCAGGAGCAGGGCAAACAGAGACCCTGCCCTCACAGAGCTCTCAGTCTGGGGTGAGGGAGACAGACGGGCAGCAGATGGGTTGTATCCAGTGTAGTCAGTGCTGTGATGTGGGATGCACAGAGGAGGCACCTTACCCAATTTGCAGGTTGGGGAAGGCTCTCCTCCATACCTCAGTTTAGACCTGAACAATGAGTAAAATTGCTATGGGCTTAGATTCCATTGAGTATGCCAGAAGAGCAAAGTAACTGTCATCTTAAAATGTTGGTACAATAGACAGGAAATCGGGTGTTTTGTAACCATTTAAGCTTATGATGAAAATTTTCAATGTCGATCTAAAAGTGCACAGAGGGGATGTATGAGCAAAAAACACATGAAGACCCCTCCCGGAAATCATACCCTGCTTAGTAGGGCATTGACTGTTCATCCTCTGTGTTAACTCTGCATTTACTTTAAGTAGTTGGTGCCTACCCCCTTCTGGGAAAGGACTTATGTATGGATCCGGAGCTTGGTTCTCTAGCCAGATGGCCTCCTTCCTCTCCCCATCAGCCTCTTTGTTGCCACATCTTACCTGTCTCCCCACTCTACAGTACTGACCTGCCCTGAGGCTCTCTTCTAGACCCCTTTCTCTCTCTCTCTCCTCTCTCCCTGGGTGAAAGGCCCCAACTTTCTCCCTCAAGACCCTGCGTCTGACTGCACACTGGACATCTCCATTTGGCTATTCTCCAGACATCTCAGCACCCATACAGTCAAACAGAAGCCTTGATTGTTTTCTGCAAACATGTCCCTCCCCCATGGTCCTTATCTCAGGAAGTGGACCCATCTTCCACCAGTTGCTTAGACCCAAAGCTAGTGGTTGTCCTGGATTCTTTTCTCCCCCAGCCTCCACTTCCAGTCCATCAGCAGGTTGCGGACCCCATGTCCAAAACCTCTCCAAAGCTCTTCAGTCACCATTTCCATCTCCTTGGGCCACCCCCAGTCCAAGCCTCCATCATGGACGGCCACAGTAGCCCCATAGGGGGTCCCCTGCTTCTGCACTCATCCTCCCTGATCTGTACTCCCCATGAGAGAGACAGGTGGTGTTTTCACAACAGATGGGATCATGTCACTCCTGCGTTCAACCTGTCTAAGGCTCCCAAAAACCCTTAAGAAAAAATCCACCCTTTTTATTCTGACCTCAAAGCCCTACATGATGTGCCCCTGCCTTCCTCTCAGACCTTCACATCCCACATACTCCCTTGTTCTCAAACCCACAGCTCCGTCTCTCTCCTGAGCATCCTGTTCTCTCTGCCTGGACTCTTGCTTCAGAGTCCCAGCTGGCAAAGAACTTTCAGGCCTCGGCTTGAAGCCCACCTGCCCTATCTAAAGTAACCCCACCTCCACCCCCCCATGGCCCACTGTCCCTATCACCCTGTTTGTGTCCTTGTCTATTGTCCATCTCTCGCACTGGACTGAGAGCTTCCGGAGGGAACTTATCTGTTGGGTCCTGTTTCTCTAATTCTCAGAAATGTGCCACATACACAGTAGGTGCTCAATAAATACGTTTAACGTTCAAAGATAGCATACTCTCCAATAAGGTGAACTCTGATCTGAGGGCCAGGGACGACACTATGGACTAAATGTTCTCATCCCCCCAAATTCATATCCTGAATTTGATGGTATTCCGAGGAGGGGCCTTTGGAAAGTAGCTGGGTCAGGAGGATGGAGCCCTTAACATTAAGATGTTAATAACTGGGGAAACTGGGTGAGGGCTATATGGAAACGCTCTGTACTATCTGCAGATTTTCTGTAAATCTAAAGTAAAAGGTTTCTTTTGTCAAAAAAAAAGTAATTTTGGGGACGCCTGGGTGGCTCAGTCGGTTAAGCGTCTGCCTTCAGCTCAGGTCATGATCCCAGTGCCCTGAGATCGAGTCCCGCATCAGGCTCCTTGCTCAGCAGGGAGCCTGCTTCTCCCTCTGCCTGCAGCTCCCCCTGCTTGTACCCTTGCTCACTCTCTCTCGCTCACTCTCGCCCACGCTCTCTCTCTAACAAATAAATAAATAAAATCTAAAAAAAAAAGTAATTTTGTCTGTAGTCTGACCATCAGTGATGTTGTAAAAGTCCTAATCACACAAGGTTTAATTCTTCTAAACTGAAGTTGGTTTGTGAGAGTGTGTAAATTGCACTTGATGGGCAGAAATGCTCGAAAGACTAAATGCAGCGTACGTGCAATGGATAAATTGTCTATTTTATATCTGTGAAAAGGAGGTAGGATCCCAGGGATGGGGTGTGAGTGGCAGGAGCTCTGGGCCCTTGATGCTCTGGCATTGTCCTCGTAGAGAGAGAATCTGATTGGCCCAACCTGGGTCAGGTATCTCGACCTTGGATCAACTAACCATGGGCAGGGGTGGTGTTGTGCCAAAGTAGCCCCCAGTTTGTACTATTCTACACATTCCTATGGCATTTTGTTCCCCTAAAAGTGTGACTATTTCCTGACTTGTCATTTGATCACTTATTGTGAAGTTGGCCACTGGAATCCATGGACGGTGGGAAGACAGCCGTAAGACTAGAGGACCTCCAAGCCCCCTCACAAAGAGCTCTCTGGGGGACCAAGACACACTGGACCCCCAGGAGTGGACATAGCTGAGCCCAACAGTTGCCCCCCAGCTACATAATCATTCTGACACTGCTTTGTGCTCCACTCCTGCTCTTTTAAGAAAGTTTTAAAATTTTTAATAAAACAACTTATATATTTCAAATGGACAAAAATCACTATCATTTACAGTATCTTAGGATACATTGCCTTAGAATGGGAACTTCAAGTACTCTGAGGTCTGCAAGATAGATCTAGAAACCTGGATTCTATAGAAAATGAAAACTGTTTAAGTCAGATCAGGGGGAAGATAGTGACAGCCAATGGTTCTTTTTTATTAATTGCTATAATACTGTCCTTCGGTGGCTGAGGGAGTTTCATGTTTTCTTTGGACGCCATTAGGCACCAAAACTCTCGTAGGACAGCTTTGATGCTCTGCTAATTCTGCCATTTTGCTGGCACTGATGTGGCCTTGGGTGACCACTTCATTAGAACTACTACTCCATTCATACTAATTTTTGCTACAAATCTTACAAAGGGGAGTGATTCTGGGCATTTAGATCCACATCCTATCTTAAGGCTGTCTGTTCGGGTTTCATAAATTGTCCAAGCCTGCGCTGGCTGCCACCTTGTGTTACTGTCACTGGAAGCCTGGTGCCTTCTTCACCCTCCACCGATCCCCTGGCCCTCATGCTGTACCATTCCCTTTACTCTTTCTATCATTGCTCTGTTGGAACATTGCTTTCGATGTTTAAATTGTTGACCAAAAACATTCAAAACCACCAGCTTGACTTCTCAAGGCTGTCATAAGTTGAGAGACCAGAAAAGTCTTGAAAGGGTGTGATTCTGCAGGAGACAAGGCTCGGCTCTCTGGTTTCCCTGCTGGCTGAGATTTTCAGGACCAGAGACAGCGCCTCTCCACCCCCACCCCCACCCCGCGCCCCGCCGCCCCCTGACCCACACCTGTTTCCTGGGGAGCTTTGGATTTGACTGTCAGGAGAGGTGACCCCACCTGATAGACTGGGAACCTACCCGACGCTGGAGAGACCTGGGGAGGGAAGCACTAGAGGGTGCTAGTGAGCTGCTGGTCTGAGGATTGGGAGAGGTCCATTCAAATCCTGACTCTATCACCACCTCTGCGACCTTCAGAAGGTCACAAAAATAATGACAACAAAAAAAGTTCAAAAAGCCTAGATTATTTAAAATGTCGATTGTTTACATTAAGGCCTGTTCTCACCCAAGTCTTATCAGTGTCTATATTATACAGAGGGGTTCTCCTGGGGGTGCACGGTGGTTGGTGTTTTCCTTCTCTTGTTTGTTACTTTGCATACAATGATACCCAGTTTGTTTCTAGGAAATCTTACAGCTATTGAATATTACATATGCTTTTAAACAGCTTTGTTGAGCTAAAGTTGACATGCAACAAACTGCACATCTTTAA